CTTCATTCCCACACTCACCTGCCCCCTCCACCCCCACCCCAGCCCCCACCTGCCTTCCTGTCCTGCTCTTGCACATTAGGCCCCACATCAGCCCGTATGCAGGAAAATGCTGGCTTGCATACCACTTCTGCAGGCTAGCTTCCATGCTCACGGTGCACCTGTGCACATGCTGGGGCAGGGGTGTGTGCACACTCCCACCGCCTTGCTCCTCCTTTTGCATGCACCTCCTTCTGCATCCCTGCTTGCTCAGTTTCCCCCGTGTTATTTGGAATGTTCTCTTCTTTGCTTACCCTTTTCCTGTCCTTTAACAAGGAAAGGGTCTCCATGTTGCCTTCCTTTCTTCCCCTCTCTTTCCTCTTGCAGTGAATGGTTGTCCTCTGTCCAGCCTTGTGCACAAACATGAGGGCGGATAAGATTCCAAGAGAGGAGAGTGGGGTGGTTTGGGTTGGGGGCTGCAGCAAGGGTAGACTGTATATATAATATGTATGTTTACATATGTGTGTATATGTATGTGGTTATTTTTCCTTTAGGGTTTGTGTCAGTGTGCAACAAAATACAGGCCCTGGCAGTTGGTGCCAGGTGGTGAGTCCATGCTCAGGGGGAAGTAGGGCCTTTAGAACTCTTGAGATAACGTTTAGGAGGTACTCTGAAGTTCTGCCACTTTCCGAGTGGAGACCTCAAGGAAGTACTTTCATCCTTGAGTCTTAGTGTCACCTCTTAAAAAGTGGGGTGGCTAATCCAAACATTGTGAGAGGATCCGGAGGGAACCGCGTGGCATTGCTTCATTCGTTGTGGCAGGCTTCCCTAGTGTCCCGCTCCGCTCTGGGCCTGGCCAGGTCCCTGCCTTCGAGGAGCTCAGTCTCTGGCAATACAGATTGCGTCTCCGGAGTGCAGAGTAATTCTGCAGCTTCCTGTCAATTGCTGACTGAGCTCAGGCACTGGCCGCTTAGGTGCTGTCCGACAGGTTGCAGGACTAAACCCCTCAGGAGCTACTGAGGTCGAGGTGCCTGCTCCCTGGAAAGAGCCGCAGTTCCAAACTGAGGTTAGCAGGCTGGAGGAGATGAACAAAAGGCCCCGGGTAGTACACAGGTCCCAGGAAAATGTGCCCCAGGGAAGGGCAAGGAGGAGCTCTCTGAACTGGGTTTTGAGAGATGAGTAGGAGTTTGCCAGTCAAAAAGAACGAGCACTAGGAAGAGAAAACAGGTATGAGTAAAGATTCAAAGGTGTTGTGTCTAGAAACAGCAGATCTCTGACTCTAGGGCCCTGTTAGGTAGCTGAGTACACTCTTAGAAGAGAGGGGAGAAACCCGGGGCTTGATGCTTGGACTATGGTATGCAGTGTGCTCTGGCTCGATTTCTGTTTCTGGAAGGGGATTCTTTGACTTCAGGAAGTGGCGGGAGACAGGAAGCACGGTGAAGGAGGAGGTCACGCGATTCATATGAGAGATGCTGATTACTTGGTTAGGGCACACCTTTGTCAGGACAGGTGGTTTCTTAGAGGTGAGGGTGAGCGCGAGAGAAGCAATCCCGGTTCCTTGGAGTGACTGGGTGGGGCCTTTCCTGAGCTCTAGGGGCTTGGCCAGGAGAGGTAGGTTGGAGGGGCATTTGGTGAGCTCCGCTCTAATGCCTCTGTGAGGCCCTTGGGGCATTTCAGGCTCAGGAAAACCAAAAAACCCAACTCACTGCCACAGAGTCCGTCACAATTCCAAACGGCCCTATGGCTGCCCTTGCCGACCTTAATGGTTCCCAGCCCAGCTCAGACCCTCCGGCAGGCGGCCTTAGGCTCCAGAAGGGTGTGGCTAGAAGGATGTGGAGCTTGGGGGAGAAGACCCTGCTTGAGAAAGGTCTGGGAAGTGCATGAGAGGGAGGAGAGCCATCATCCTAGAGAGGAGACAGCATCAAACCTCAGCGATGATGCTGTCAGCTCTCAGCTGGGGGGGGGGCAGCCCCTCGGCAGCCCCTCCCTGTGCCGCTGACCACCATGATGACCTTGAGAACATTGCTTAGCATCTCCAAATCAGTTTCTTCATTTGTTAAATGGATTTAATGATGCAGTTTGTCATAAGGATCAAAGCAAGACTGGTAGCTAGTGAAACCCAAAAACCCATTGCCCAAACCAAACCACTGCAGTTAGGTCTTGTCGTGACTCCTGTGACCCTGTAGGACAGAGTAGAAACCCCCATCGGTTTCTAAGACTAAAGCTCTATAAGGAGAGCCTGGGGGATTTGAACCCCAACTCTCTGGTGAGCAGTCGAGTGAGTGCTTGAACACTGCGTCACAGGACCAAACTCACTGCCGCCCGCTCGTTGCAGCCCTGTGCAGGGTTCCCAAGTCTGCGGGTCTTAGCGAGAGCAGACGGCCTCATCTTCCTCCCAGAGAAGGGCTCGTGGGTTTATAGCACCAACTCTGCAGGGAGCAGCCCGTGCCTGACGCACAGCGCCACCAAAGGCTCCTTATTCTTTATGTCGTCATTACTAACATAGGCTACTGTGACCGTCCTCAGTAAGAGTAGGGTGAACCGTAACCTGGAGTTACAGTTAAAATCTCTACCCTGCTTCCCCCAAGTAGTTGTAATTCTGAACCGAGATTAGCAGGGGGAGCATCTTCCCAAGGAGAGTGCTCAGCTCACCTTGGTGGCACTGTTGAGGCCTGCCAGGTGTGTTTTTGGCCTTTAGGTAGACAAGCATGAGGAGACTGGGACAGGCCCTGGGGAAGAGACCACACATAGGATGTGGATGGCATGGGGGGTCTGAGAAGAGGCAACTTTAGGGTGCGCGGTTCTCCATTCCTCCTACCCTGCCTGGTCCCAGCTCTAGGTCCCCCGTGCCCACCAGGTCTCTGCGTCCCATCTCGGCGCCAGAGGACTCTGGTGAGGCTTGAACTTCTGGGGGCTGCTGGAGGGCTATCGGAACCCCTCTGGATCTTGACTTGCCCCTGGGAAGTACCAAGGCGCCTTCTTACCTGACCTGGGGTGTGACTGCCGACCCTCTAGAGGGGGGCCTGCTGGGGGCCAGCTAACACGATGGATTCCTGATGGGGATCTGCCCTGATCCTGAGCACCTTTCTAATTGGATTGCCTGCGTCAGTGCTGGCTCCTTGGGGCGTCCCTGGCAGTCCTGATCACTCTGGGCTCCGTCCCAGTGTGTCTACCTCGGTTCTGAGGACCACGAGCGGTGAATCGGAGGGGTGATTCCAACTGCTTAATCCAGGCCTTTTCCATGCCAGATTCATCCTGGACTGGCATGTGGTTGCAGGTACTATTTCAGGCCTTCCCCGCGTGCCAGGACATGTGTTTGTTTTGTCCGTCCTTAGACCTGGCTTTGGAGGTGGTGCCCACTCTGTTTAGGTCCGGGTCAGTGTCCAGGCACAAGGCCCGGTACTTCTCCACTGTTCCTTACCTCAGACTCTGTCCTGCCCAGGATCGGGGTCTCTGTGCAGCTGTGACACCAGCTACCTCACATCTAGCACTCAGACCCTTAGCAGGCATCTCCAGACAAACGGGCCTTTGAGTTGGGGACACGGAAGCTGGTCTGTCTGGCCAGACCTGCCCGGCAGCCTGGGAGCAGTGGCCACAGGGAACTTTGTGAACTGGGAGGAGGTCAGCATGTGGCCACCCCGAGGCGCAGGGCTGTTGCTTTTGGCAGGGGCAGGATGGGGTGTGCGCTACAGCGCCATTAAGGATGGTTCTGGTTCGGCCAGACACATTTGGAGTTGGTCAGAGTGAGCCTTTGGTCTTGAGCGACGGTTCCTAGGTGAAGGAGGCTGGTCCCCCAAGCTGGTGAAGAGGGTGGCTTCTGTGACCTCTGTTCCCCAGCCTGTTCTGTGTGTCGGCGTCCAGGAGAGTCAAGGATGGCAGGCAGAGCTGCGTGGGGTGGGGGCCGCCGTGCATGCGGGGGCATCCAGCTGAAGAGAAACCGCCATGAGGTGCAGCCCCAGTCGAGTGGGCACCAGCAGCACCAAGCAGCTGAGCCGTGGGGAGATGGTGATTAGATGTGTGGGCATATCCGACCCCTGCCCCCACCCAGGATGGTGCCCACGATGGGAATGGCTGGGCTGTGTCGCTGCGTGTGTGCCAGCGGAGGAGGCACCCAGGGGCACACCTTCATTTTAGAAATTATAGAGAAGCAGAAAGTCAAAAATAAATATTGCTTCTGAAGCTTCTTTGAAGGCTGGTGTGTATGCGGGTGTGTGCTCTTGTAGGCTAGCCTGTTTTCTGTGAACTCATTCGTTCATTCATCCAGTCATTCAGCTGGTGGTGACTGAACACACTCACTACTTGCCAGGCGTTCTGGGAACTAGGGATATGGACCTGAACCTGGCAGCTCTTGGCTGAGCTTCCAGTCAGGGCAAACAGACCTGACTCGTAACCATGTAACTAAGTGTTCACACTGGTGATATTCCGGAGGTGGGGCGGAAATCCACGTTGCTCTGATGTCGTCTGGGGCACCCTTAAGAAGGTGCCGTTGTATGCAAGACCCCTGGAGTGGGTTCGGGAAAAGAATGAGTGGTGTTCCTAGCGCGGACTACAGCATGGACACGTTTGAGAATCATAAGAGCTTTGACTGGCAAGAGGGGAGCTTACCTGCTTCAGCCAGGTATGGCCTTGTCCAACTCTGCTGGACCTCAAGGCTTATACTGAAGCGTTTGGACATTGGTCATACTCCCGGGTCAGGGATTAGAGGTGTGTGGTTCGTGGCTGTTTGCCTGTTGCTTGGCAGAGTGTCTCAGGAGGTGTGATGCCAATGAGCATTCTTACTCAATGGAGATTATCCGACAGGGATAATTCTGTATCTGGTTTGGTTTTTCTCCATAAGCAGCAAGTTTTGAATGATTTTCTGAGTCGCTGCATATACTACCATGATGAAGTTCTTGATCTTTTCTCCTCCTCCTCCTCCTCTTCCTTCTCCTCCTCCTTCTCCTCCTCCTCCTCCTCCTCCTCCTCTTCCTCCTCTTCCTCCTCTTCCTCCTCCTCCTCCTCCAGGAAGCTGTGGAGGCCCCGGTGCCCTGCCCTTGGTGCTCACTGTGCACCAGGAGTGACTGGTGTGAGCAAGCAAAGACTCGGTGAGTGTGCCCCAGGGTGTCACCAGGGTGGGCCAGGCTTGCCCGCTTGGATTTTGACCCATAGCCGGTGGAGCCAAGACAGGGTCATCATCCTGCAAAAAACGACCCCCATGTACCTTTGATTGTGCAGTGACGGCGGTCCGGCCTGGGAGGGCAGTGATGGAAGTGGTAGAATGTTTTGAGAGCTATTTAGGGAAGTGGAGTAGAAAGGACACGGGGAAGGCTTCAATGTGGGGCATGAGGGAGGGAAGGTGTCGGGATGGTGACTGGCTTCTGGCTCGAGAGGTTGATGGGTGTGGGGGGAAGGAGGGGTGATATTCAGCTTGTCAGCTGCTGTAGGTGTGAAATAGGCTTCGAGGGGACATCCTGGGAGTCACACCAGGATCGGTGTGCTTTTCCATTCACCCTGTGTTTGTAGAAAAGGCTGTTGCCACCGGACACTGTCGGTGACTTCTTGGGGGGGC